AAGATGCCAAATTTTGGCTAATGGATGGGACCTTTAGAACAGTTCCAACTTTATTTCAACAACTGTATACCATTCATGTACCTGTAGGTGGAGAGGCTAATTCTCATATTTTTCCAATGGTTTATGTGTTAATGACAAGTAGATCTGAAGAAATGTATAAAAGATTATTTGAAGAGTTAATTAAGTTAGCTGAACAAGCTGGTTATGATTAGTCACCACCTATAATAATTACTGATTTTGAGCAAGCTGTTATCAATGCAACACGATCTGAATTTCCAAATTCAACTCACAAGGGTTGTTTTTTTTACTTATGTCAAAATTTATGGAAAAAAATACAATCTGAAGGATTATCAAGTGAATATGGTAGAAATCAGGATTTTAGCCTTCAGATACGACATATTACTGCCCTTGCTTTTTTACCACCTTCAGAAATACCAGCAGCTTTTGACCAAGTTAAACTTCTATTACCTGAAAATTCAGTAGGAGTTATTGAGTATTTTGAAAATAATTATGTATATGGAAGAGTTAGGCAAAATCTTAGAAGTAGAACTGTACGTCGTACAGCACCATTATTTCCACCAGAAATATGATCTGTAAATGAACTTGTTGAAATGGGTTATCCTAGAACCCAAAATGTTGTTGAGGGTTGGCATAATAGGTGGGCAATTTAATTGGAAGGGCTCATATTGGTTTATATAAAATTATTGAAGAAATGCAAAAAGAATAACAGCAAACAGATATACAGATAGAAAACATTATTCGTGAAGCACCTCGTCTTTCAAAATGTGATCAGTATATTGATCGCGAAAATCGTATTTTAGAAATTTTTAATGATAATAATCGCACTCTTATTGATTTTTTAAGAGGTATAGCCCATAATATTTCTTTATAATTACATTTGTTATTATTATTACATTATTGCTTTTAAAGATATTGATTTTAATGTATTTGACTTTTACACATTTTGTGAATAAAATTGGAAAAAAAAAATTATGAAAAAAAAAATTTATCTAGTTGTATAATTAATTAATTACTACGAATAAATATTTTATTATTTTTATGTCACATTGTATATTTTTCATTGCATATAAAGTTGAAAAAAAAATTTTTAATCCATCACGATAAATTTTAATTGGACAGAAAACCATTAAATTTTCAGTAAATGTCCATTCGGTGAACTGGATATTCGGTAAAGTGGACCTTCGGTGAATGGGTTATTCGGTAAAGTGGACTTTCAGTGAACTAGACATTTGGTAATGTGGACCTTCGGTGAACTGGACATTTGGTAATGTGGACTTTCAGTGAACGGGTCATTCAGTAAAGTAGACTTTCGGTGAACTGGACATTCGGTAAGGTGGAACTTCGAGCAAACGTCTATTCGGCCAATTGGACTCAGCCAAATGGGTTTCGGTCAATTGGGTTTCGGTTAAAAGTCTGGATACATTTATTAGAACAATGTCAGAATTTTTCTTAATTAGGCGTTTAATATAGAAAGTATATTTTATTTATAAGTGTATACAAAAAAAGTATATTTTATCCCTGATTTGGTAAAAATCTATTGTTTGTTATGCAAACATGATCCATATGCTGATTACTGTATAAATAAACAATTGTTTTATAATAAGATCAGCAAGTAGATCAAGATTAATGCATGTGATAGATCAAGATTCATATTTTACATTTATTATAGTTGAATTCATGTGTATTGTGGTATACAAAAGGCACAAAGTCTATTAAATAGTCTATATTTTTTATTAATAAATTTAGACTTAACTATAAAAAGATAATCAGTATTCTCACAGTAACTATTTATATTGAAAGAAGGTAAAGCCTAAATTGTGATGAAAAGTCTAATTATTATAAAAAGAGAGTTATGTATTATAAATAACTTTTTTCTTAACAATCAATAAAATTACAATCTCTCTTTTACAACTCGTTATTCTCTAATTTTATAACAATCATCCTTGTTTTATAAAGAGCATTGAAAATGATGAATACACAATCAGTTAAAGACAATAAAAAAACTTTAGCAAGTAATATCTATTTTAATTATTATGGATTACATATATTTTTTTTATTTTTTATTTTTATTTATCTAATTACAAATATCTATATATACATTATTGTTACTAATTGTGAATTATAAATATCTTTTTATTTTATCAGGTGGATGCGGTCATGAGAAGAAAAAGCAGATCAACAAACCTGCTGACACTTTGATCCAAGAAATCCAAGAACAGGCTGTTGTAGCAAGCGAATTTAATAAAAATTTTGATTTTATCAATTAGATGTTTGTAATTTATTTTTTAAATAGGTAGACATGATTGTGGAGAGAGAAAGAATGCTGTTTCTATTGCACCTAAAACTGTTGTTGCTACAAGTTAGTAAATTATTTATAATAATCTCTAATAAACATGCTATGATAATAATATCATTTTATTAATATTATTAGGAGAGCGTGGAAGAGCTAGTCATGCAAGAGGTGGTGGTCGCAGCTGTGATAAAAGAAAAACTGTCACAGAAGCTACTTCCTTCGTACCTAATACTTTTCAAAATAACTTTGATGAAACTACAGGTTAATAATCTAAACATTTCAAATTTTTATGCAAACATTCTATAATTTCACTTTCTTCACTTAAAAATGATCATGTTGCGAGTAAGTATAGTAAAATGGTATATTAAATTATTAAAATTGAAATAAAGCTTATATTTTTTTATAATTAAAAGGTCATGAAAAGGAAAACAATCAGTTAGGTCACTAGCAAATTTAAAGCGTCTAACTTCGCTTAAAAATAATGACTGTGGTAACAATAGTGATAATATCGACAATATCAATAATGGTAATGATGATGATGATGATGTCGAAGATGATTTCAGTAATGACATCAATGATAATTTTGATATTGATGATGTCAAAGGTGATTTCAGTGATGATTTGAATGGCAATTTCGATGATTTTAGTAGGAACGCATCAGTTGTATCTACAAGTAAGAATTTAGTAAATTATTATAAGTTTGCTTTCTTTGAAACTAAAGTTAAAACTAAACTTTTTTATTATAAAAAGAATTAACTAAGAAAAGTAATCCGCCTAACAAATGAACAAAAAAGAATGGGATCATGAATCTGTTATAATCAGACAGTAAAGAAGAAACGGGTAAATATATTAAATGTATATGATTTGTGTCTTTAATCTACAAAAAATAATTATTTTGTAATAATTAGACTATTATCACAATAAAATAATAAAAGCCAATAAAAGACAAAGAAATAACAAAATTTATGAAGACTTTAATGATAGGAAGGAAATTGCCGAATATTACAACAAGAAATCAAGTATTTTTTACTGACTTTAATCTCATTATTAAATTACTTATAGTTTTAAATGATTTAATTAATTTTATTAGGAAAACTCAAAGCATTTAAGGATATGACAAATGCTTTGGAGATTTGTCAGTAGCTAGTAAAAAGACCAAAAATACTAATAATGACATACTAGATGTATAACATGTCAGATATACTATTGGAATTTCCTCTCCTAAATGAACCTTCTAATATCATGAACCCTAAGATTATGCTAGACAAAGAAAAATCAAATGCTCAACTTTGGGGTGAAGAAATTAAATGTCTTTTTCTTAGGTATAGAGAACTATTAGATGAAGCTATAGAAGATTTTGTAAAGGAAATATTCAACTATGACCTTTCAGTGATAATGCTGAAGAGGTCATCAGTCATTCTAAACAAATTCTAGCAGATTTTTACAGCAAATTTAATAAGAAAATTAAAGGAAAGATCTAAGAATTAAAGGACAAAGGAGTAAAGGAAGAACTTGAAATAGCCACAATAACAAGATTGGAAGTCAACGAATTCATTTCTCAGAAAGTCATTGAGCAAATACTAGATAGATATTTAAAGGGTACCAACAGAAAATGCTTAAAAATTGTAGAATGATGAAGCGGCTTGTATTATTTGTCAGGAAGGCATTTAAAGTACATTATACAGCATATAATGTCAAGGCTATTAAGAAATTCGTTAATATTATGATAGACTTTAAAGTACCGAATAGATCTGGCAAAAATGTTGCTACGAAACTTTTGTTATAATACAAAAGGAAAATGATTGTTAGACTAAAAAAAATCTCTCATGTTTTTTTATGTTTCTTATTCAGGCAAATATCATTAGAAATTTTAAATTGCATTCTATTAGATATTAGAAATTTTACTTTATTTATTCATTAATTTTTAATATTCATCTAGTCATATTTTATTCATTATTATCTATGCTTTGTGATTTTAATGCAGTTTTACTGTGTCAAACAATTAAGGCTCTTGATTTAATGCGATAAGAAGATTCACTGTGCCAAATGAATATTTTACTTTTTAATGCGATAAGAACATTTTATTACGGCAAATGATAATAGTGAACAGCGAACTTAATTTTAATAATTCACGTGAACAAATAAATTTTATTATTTTTATTCAATAATTTTAACTTTTACACTTTAATTTATTTTTATTGTATTCTATATTTGATAGTTTTAACTTGTATACTTTATTTTATTTTATTAGATTTTATACTTTTACATTTTTAAATTTTATCAAAAAAAAAAAGAATTGAAATATTAATTTCATCGCTGATAGGAAGTGACTAAAGATGGGAACTGTAATTAATATGTTGCAACATTTTGTAAATTTGAAATCAATTGCTATACCATCTTTAGAAGTGACTTTATTTATTCGATTTTAAGTTCTATAATAAAAAAAAATGAAAAAATAGACAAAAATAGAAAAATTAAAGTACTTCATCACGTTTATATAGCTGACGTGAAATGATTAGGTAGTAATCTGCTGATATAAATAAAATAATTACTACAAGCACGTAACCATGATGTCGCATGATGATTACATGCTAGCAGCATTAAAACTGCTAAATCAGGAGTTTCAGTAAAGTTAGTGATATGCTAAGGTATGGATCATATGATTTACTGTGTCTTGTATCTCAATTTTAATAGCATATCACTTATATATATAAATTAGACTTATAAATTAGTATATATTAAACCTTTTAAATAAATAGATTATTCAATTTTATATAAAAATTATATTATAACTAATTTTATAATTTCTAGATTACTAATAAATTAAGATTAAATACAATTAAATATAGCTAAAAATATTTATAATAAAAGTATTATAAAATATTGTAACTAAGGTTAATTATTTAAAATTATTTAAAATTTGGCTAATTGCTAAACCTTTAATTTGCTAAATTTTTATTAAAATTTTGATATAATTTACAATTTTTAATTAATTTTACCTTTTTTCTGAATTTCACAGATTTTTTAATAAATTTTAATATAATTTAACCAAGTTTTACCTTTATAATTTAGATATCTGATTAAATTCTAGATTTTATATAATAACCTTAATTGCAGTTAAATATGACTAAATATAAACTTAAAAATTATAAATAATCCAAAATTATAAAATAGTTATCCTTTAGATTGTATAGTAGGAAAATTTGCTTGCAAAATTAAAAAAAAGTATTAATTTCTTTATAAAATATTAAATATTAATTTTAGCAATTTTATTACTAAGGTTGCTGAATGAAATCTAGAGTTTAGACAGATGTCTAAATGGTAAAAGTAAAACTTGGTTAAATTATATTAAAACTTTATTAAAAAATCTGCGAAATTCAGAAAAAGATAAAACTATATCAAAATATAAAAATGGTAAAACTATATCAAATACTTAGTAAAAATTTAGCGAAACTAAAGGTTTAGACATTTAGTTAAATCCAAATGAGTTTAGACAAGTAACCTTAATTATTACTATATAAAATATATAGTTTAATATATATTTTATCAACTTTATTAACATAGATTTTAAGCTATTTAAAAGCTTTTTAAAATAATTTAATTTTAAAATTAAGTTTCTAAAAAATTTATTATAATAATTATTTATTAAAATACTAAAAAAAATTATTTAAGACTTAAAATTAAAATAAATATATAGATAATTCTTTTTTATTAATAATTAAGCATAATCTTTTTAGTTTTTTACCTTTCTTTTTTGATATATTATCTGATATTACAAGTAAAGAAGTTGAAACAAATCTTATTATACTATGTAATTCTAAAATATGTTTTCAGTTTAAATAAGTAGAGTTTTACCTAGTTTTTATATTAGTAATAATATCTTGAAAACTTTCAGTTTTTAATAATTCATTTTACATTTTATGTAAATATTATATTTATTTTGAAAAATAAAAAAGCTTGTAAGCTTTTGACATGATAACAAATAACTTTATATTCATTATTTCAATTCATTCTGAATTGATAGTTATAATATATACATTATATAGGGCTGATATTATATATTATAAATATGATTTTCATATAATAATTATATTCATTTAATTATATTAGGCTAATTATCTGTAACTATTAGGGTTCCTCAAAATTTAATTAAATCAAATATTAAACTTAATTTGATTTTTCAAATCAAATTATATTCAATTATATCAGATCAAATATTTTATTAAATTGAATTAAATTGAATATTTAATTAAATCAAATCAAATCAAATACAGTTCACCCTTTTTATAGCAATTTTTTTTATAGAGAAAAACTTACTATAATGAAGAAAAGTTCTAAAGCAAATTATTTTATAATTGATAATACTTAATATAACAAATTTTATTATAAATTTTTCTAATTCGTAACTCAAACTTGCATATCAGAATAAGTATAATAATATGACCTTTAATATAATAAAATTTTCACTATACTGAATTTTTAAAATGTTATATAAATTTTGATCATATGAATAAAATAAAATCAATTCACATTTATTTTTAAAAGTTAGAATTCTGATCAATTTTTTTTCATATGCTACTATGAAAACTAAAAATGCATGAAATAAAATTTTTCAAAAAAAAGTCAAAAGTCAAAATAATACTTTACCAAAATAACATCATTAACTTTTACCTAAAAACATGAAATATGTTTTAGAAAAATCATAGAATCTTCTATAAAAAATAAAGAATTAGCTTTAATATATAATATTAGTGAAAAATATATTAGTGATACATTAAAAAAATCATAAAAATAGCTTGAACCTGATCTCTGAAACTCAAGAAAAAAGACAAATCAAAATGAATTTTCTAGAAATTGAAGAAGCTTTTACATTATAGGTATTAAAGGCTTTAGAAAATAGTATTGATATTAGTAATCAAGTTTTATATGAGAAAGCTAAGGCATTTGCTTCTCTATATAAAATTGAAAATTTTAAAAAAAGTAATGATTGAATTGACAATTTAAATAATCTTTTTGTTATTTAAATCAAGAAGAAGCTGTAAGCGTACCTTTTGATCAACTTGATGAATTTAGGAAAAACTTTAAGATTTGATTCATGATTATAGTCTTGAAGATGTTTTCAATTGTGATGAAACTAGTTTGTATTAGAAAATAAAACCCAAAAGAATGATCTTTAATAAACCTGTATCTGGAAGAAAACAATTAAAAGAGCATATAACAATTTTTCTTTATTTTAATGTAACTGATACAGAAAATCTCTAACTAGTATTCATCTATAAATATAAAAATCCTTGCTTTAAAAAATTTATCTAAATATTTTTGCCAATGGAATATTACTGGAATTTAACAGCTTAGATACAGGTTTCTATCTGAAATGTTTGAATTCATCAGCTAAATACAACAATGAGATTAAAAGAAATAAAATTCTTCTTGTTTATGCTTTATATGAAGATGTGAAATTAACTAATATAAAAATTGAATTTTTATCTCCTAATATCACTGCGCATCTTCAACTATGTGATAAATGTATTATAAATAGTTTTAAGTTATCAAAAACCTGGAATTAAGTTCTTTCTCAAACTATATTTAACTGCTAAAATAAAACAGGAATTTTACCAAATGATACAAATCCTTATAATAAAATGGAAGATGAGTATAAAGAGATAAATAAGAATGAATTATCTATCAATAAATTTGAGTATATTATTATCCAACTAATGGTTAGGCAGACTGAAACACGTAATCAATTGAGTAGC